TTTTTGCTTTTGTTTTCCTTACTGTTGAAATGAGACATCTCTGAAGCCAGTGTCATGGAATGCTCTCTTCTATGTATTTTATGTTTTTTGGTCTTATAGCCAAATTTTTAATCTTAATTTGTGTATGGTGTGAGACTGTCGCAACACGAGTTTCAGTCTTTTGCATGTGACTGTCCTCTTGTTGAAAGGGCTTTCCTTTCTCCATTGTACATCCTTGTGCCCTTTGTTGTAGGGCACAAGGTTTATTTCTGGACTCTGAATTGTATTTCATTGATCTTTGTGTCTGTTTTATTCAAATACCATATTGTTTTGATTTCTGTAGCTTTGTAGTATAGTCTGAAGTTATGTGACGCTACCATTATTAAATTTTTTTTTTTTTTGGTCAGAATTACTTTGTGTATTTGGGGTCTTTTATGATTCCACAGGAATTTCAGTAGTGTTTAGTGCTAATGAAACTTTGGTAATGATTGCATTGAATCTGTGTATTGCTTTGATTAAGACTGATATTTTAACAATTCTTCCTGTCCATTTGAAAGGAACATCTTTTTACTTATATGTCTTCTATTTCTTTAATCAATATCTTATAGTTTTCATTGTATAGGTTTTTTTTTACCTCCCTTTTTAGGTTTATTCCTAGGTATGTAATTCTTTTTGATGTAATTGTAAATGGGGTTGTTTTATTGTTTTGTTTCTCTTCTAGTTCATTGTTTGCATATAAAAACACAAAATATTTCTATATATTGATTTTGTGATGTGCCACCTCACTGTACTAATTTATTGCTTTTAATAGGTTTTTTTCTTTTAATGTGTCTTGGGTTTTTAAATGCTTGTTTTGTCTTCTGTAAATAGCAGTAGCTTTACTTCTTTTTAAATTTGGATTCCTTTTATAACTTTCTCTTGCCTATTTCAAGATAGGACTTCCAATATTATGTTGAATAGTAGTGGTTAAAGTGAACAACCTTGTCTTGTATCCATTCTTAGAGGAAAACCTTTCAGTTTTTCACCATTGAGCTCGACATTAGTTGTGGAGCTGTGAACTTGGCATGTAGCCTTTATAGCTCTGTTGTATAGCCTTTATTATATTGAGGTATGTTTCCCCTTTTTATTGTTTTTTTAAATCATAAATGGATGCTGAATCTTATTAAATGCCTTCTTTGTGTCTATTGATCTGATCATAATTTTTTTTTTCTTTCCTGCTGTTGATGTAAAGAATTCCACTGAATGATTTGTGGCTATTGAGCCATTCTTACATCCCTGGGATAAATCCCACTTGGCCATAATGTATGCAACTTTCAATGTATTGCTCTGTTTGCTTTTTAAGATTTTGTTGAGGATTTATACATCTGTTTTAATAAGAAATATTGGTATGAAGCTTTCCTTGTCTGTTTTTTTGGTAACTTTTTTTGGAAAGAGGTTTCATAAAATGTTTTTGAAGCATTCACTCTTTCCATATTTTTGAAGAGCTTGAGAAAGTTAAGTATTTTTTTTTGAAGTTTTTGTGGAGTTCACTAGTGAAACTATCTGTTCCTAGTTTTTTGTTTTGGGGGACAGTTTTATTACTGTCTTAGTTTCCTTGCTTGTAGTTGGTCTGTTCAGGTTTTCTATTTCTTTATTCAGTCTCAGAATGTATTATTCTAAGAATTCATCCATATATTCTTGTTTACTCCATTTGTTGGCATAAAGATGTTCTTCAGAAATTTAGGAGGGTGTTTGTCATCCATGCGTTTGAGCAACAAATCATGGATAGAGAATTATTAATAAAAAATATGTAATTCTTATTGAAAATTCAGTTGTTAGGTTACTAATGGATTATATGCGATAAAATTTGAGGACAAATATTTTGAGAGGAACAAATTTTCTGAGCTCATTCAGATCCTTCTAAATCTTGTAACAGCCACCGTGAATGGGGCATCCTGGAGGACAAAGTCTGTAGCAAAGTCTGACAGTAGTTTCTTGCCTGTAAATGTATATCTAAAAGGCAGCCCATCTATTAGGAAAAATGGAAGAAGAGAAAACAAAAGTCAGAATATTAGCTCTATCTCTCATATTCATCCAACAATCAAATCACGCAACTTATGTGATTTTATTTACTCTTATTTCTTCCACACTAAGGTGTGGAGCCTGAGCCAGTCTTAAGATTCTCTATTCAGTTATACATTGAGAATTACTGTACAATCCCAAATACTAGTAGAAAAAATAAGGTAGTGGTGGCATTTTTCAGACAAGTGGTAATGTGATGAGAAGAAATTGAAAGAATTTGAGACTGCAGAAAAATAGAAGGAAATGTAATGGAAAATGAGATGTGTTATAAGAATGCAGAGAGGCCTGAGAGAATTTTCAGAACTGCTTCCTGTTTCCAGGACATCAGATCATCATCAACAGATTTCATTAATTGAGCTGTTGTTTGTTCAGAGTAAGGAAATGGATATAGGAAGTTCCTCCTCAATCTAGATAGCCACAGCACATCCAGTGCCCTGAGGCAGTACAGTTACACAGGACAGTTTACTCAATGGGTAGGTTCAAAGCTCTTCGGCTTTTAAAACATTTTCCTAGGGGAGTTAGTGGAAGAGCTTTTTTATTCCTTAAAGAAGCTCTGGACCAGCAGATATTACTGGGACATAAATAGTATGTCCCCTGAAGCAGCATATATGAGTGGGGGATCTGGGACACATGGCAAGAAGGGACCAAGGGACCCAAGTCTGCATCAGAGAGGAAGGAGGATCCTCCTTACAATGCAAACCGTGATATACTGTGGAAATAGAAGAAACATGGGATCTGATCTGAAAAATTGGGAATAAAATCGAAAAGGCTGATGTTTTGAAAAGTAGGTGTATGGAAGGATTTGTGCTGTTTCCTCATTTTTCATCTGGGAAAGTATTGGAAAGATTTATCTATATGATGTTTTACAAACTTTAAAAAGGACTTTAAAACATAGTGGAACCCTTTGTTTAAATGCAGATAGAAGTGGAAGTGGAACCAGGGAGCTTCATAACACTTGTAGAGTATGGTGGAATACCCCTACTCTCCAAGGGTTCAGAGGTGGATTTAATGAATAGTGATCACGTGTCATATGTATAAATAAAATGTACGGAAAGAAGCCAAGGCAAGTTTAGGTGAAATCCATGGTCCTAAGTGAGGCAGTTAACAGTTTTTATCAATTATTGATTTATCCATTGTAGCTTTTTTACTTCAAATACATTGCACTTTCTACTTGCATCATTAATTTATTTGCATGCATTTTTTATTTGTATCATTAATTTAGAGGAGTATCTACAATTCAGTAGATATATTTAGAACTTGGACTGTTGAACATACTTTTTTTACTGTTCTTTATAAAACCTACTTTTTGGCTACTGTTCTTTATAAAACCTACTTTTTGACTCGTCAGAATGAATTGAATAAAACTCTCCCTTCCAAATGCACGGGACTATGGTGGTGGCACAGGGGTGATTTGGTGATGGGAAACCCGTGGGGATTACAATTGAGATGAAAAAAAAATGTGAAAAATGATGTAAAAATAAACTTTTTAATAAAAAAAAAAAAAAAACTCTCCCTTCCATGTGAAAGTATTCTGTTTTGGCAGGAATAGCTCTGAAATGATTCCACAGTGAAGAAAGCTTGTTACAATGTTCATTGCATATTTGTAACTAATCTCAAAGAACATGGGAATACATTTGCAGCCACAAGAACAAAGACTTTTTGTGTATGACTTCTAATTATTTAATTAACCTCTGTGTTTATTTTGTTTGTTAATTTCTACCCTCTGTCTTTTTGAAGCTACTTCCCCTTGGGACCTGTGAAGTATGCCTATTTAAACCTCTCGGGATTAAAAATTAAATATATCTTAGTTCAAATGAATAGATACACAGAGCAAAGACATATAAATTGTATGTTTAACTTCTTTACTTTCTTTCTTTTTCATCATTTTTACTGACCATACACAATTTTTATTTAACTAGGCATCTCTTTACTGACATCTGTCATATTAATATAGTTTTAATATAGAGGGAAAAAAGCCACCTTAATTTTGACCAAAAATGGGACAGTACATAAATCTTTTAAGATATTTTAAGAGAAACAACCATTTGGTTATTATTGCATGTTCACTTCTTGTGTATCAAAACGAAGCTCAAAATTAGAAGGGAACAGTTTTCTAGCTTCATGATCTTGTAGTTGTGTTTCTAATTGCACTGCATCACTTTAATTCAGTGAATGTTCTGATGCTTATCTGTGATGGGCCACCGTCAAAGACTTTTTGAGGCTTTAATTATTAACTTACTGAATCAAAGTGCTTTTTATGCTTGGCTTTTAAGAAAAAAAATCATTTTATGCTGGAATCACTTATACATGGTGGAATCAATTATAGTGTGATAATGATGCACACATCTCTGTGTAGTTATTAATGCTGGAGAAAAATTGATTCCTGTGGTGCTGATTATTAATGTTACAGCATATTTTTATTCATAAAAAATGAAATTCATTTTAAGTTGATAAATTAGCAAATAATATATTTGACTACTGTAACCAATAGATCCATATAGATCCATGATATTATGTGTGTAGATATCATACAAATAAGAAGTCAATAGAATTGATTCCTTTTTCTTTACCTTTTGTTTAGGCTAAAACTTTTCATAGAAAACATTGCCCAATATGTTACTTTTATAATAGCATAACTGGATTTTCACAGTAGCTTCTTATATCAAGATTGTATTCCCTAAATCGATCACAGACCAAGTGAAAATCCTTCAATATTCTTATATTTAAGTATATATATATACACACATATATATAATTTTTTTTTGGAATTTTGCTTTTGATATGTGCTGTTTATGGGATTGCTCACTAAGATAAGTTTTCTGGAGTGGATCAGCTTTTACTTTTTACTTCGTTATTGTACAGTGTAAAAACTCTTCCTTTTATAATATATAGGTTAAAAAATATGGGCAGGTCTAGTTGTAATAATATCAACTACAGAATCAAACTTTGTTTATATTTAGAGTGAATATGAGGCTGAGATTAAGAAGATGCAGCAGTTCTCAAAAGACAGCCTGGGAATAAAAGGTGAACTGAAAGCTGAAGATAGAGAAAAGGTAATAAAATAATAAGCTTTCTGTTAACAGAGGATTTCTGCAGTGTTCATCTTTAAAGATAGTACTTTATATAAAAGTCATCTTGTTCCGAAAATTTTTTACAAACAAATGATTAAGGCCTTTTGCTTATAAAGTATAGTTTAAATGTCTAATTCAATTAAATTTGCAGAAAGGCACTCACTGCCTTTAGAAGAGATAGATTCTAAAGAATAATACAGTATTATTAGTAGGTGAAATTTCTAAATAATGCATTGTGATTACATTTTCATAGTTCCAGAAATGCTTAAAATGAAAAGTAAACACGTGGCATTTTGATTCTCTTTTTTGTATATATAATTTTGTACATTTTAACCTTTCTTAGAGAAAGTGGAAAGAAAAGATTGCATATCTAAGCACAGACAAAAAGACAGGCAAGGAATACTTAAATAAATTCTGCCATGTATCTGCTGTAATGCAGGCTTCTAATCCTCCTGCCTATCTCCATATAAATGATTCTGTTCAAGACCATAGATGTTTTCTTCACTAAAAGCAGTAAAGCTCTTTTAGATGAAATGTCTAAAAACATCTTGTAATAACTTGGAGCATGCTGGCAAGAGTAGTCACTTGTGACTATGTGTGAAACCCCCTCAGCCAGTCGATATTGTAATAAGCAAAAATGGTAGCATCACTCCATTATTCAGAAAAGCCAACAGCGTGCTTGTTCCTTAGGCTGCAGCATTCATTAAGAAAAGCTTACTGGGCTGAAAGCTGGAAACAGATGATAACGGGATATGATTTTCATATTTAATGCTTTCCTTGGAAGAGTATGTGTGCTACAGATTGATAGAAGAATCAACTGCTACTTTACTAAAAGACTTTCAGGTTTGCCCTATAGCTACCGATGGAATCATTCAGCCAAGAAATTAACTTTTTCTCCTTTTACCTGCTTTATATATCTGCTAAGCAGGCTGCCTGGCTGCCAGTAAATGTTATTATGCAGTTAACTGTTTGGTATTTAAGACTCTTATCAGAAAAGAAACAGAGGCCACACTATTTTGTTTTTATAGTAGGAGGAAGGTTTTAGTTTTTCTTTTTTCTGTGCATTAGCAGGCATTAATCTGAGTTTAGAGGAAGTTTTAGTTTTCCTTCCCAAAGATTAAAAAGTTAAAAAAAAAACAAACCCTAAAATTTGGAGCATTCTTCAAACTGTAAGATATAAAACACCAGGCCCTGGTAACCCTGACCTATATAAAAAGGCCTTCCTTTAATGATAAATGATTTCTGGGCCATTAAATGTACACCAAATGTGGTATGATGTGATAGTCTTCTAAATCATTTAGGCACTTTTTCTGTTGGCATTTGGTCATGAAATAATTGACATGTTTTTAATCTGTAAACCAGTTTGTTCTTTTTCTGCTATTCCTGATAGGCACATTCTTAGGTCAGCAGTATCAGTGGTACTTAAGTAAAACAGGAGGCTTGTTTTCCTGTTTGGACTACTGATTCCTTACCTTACATCCAGTTATATAGTCTCTTTTTTAGCCATATTTAAAATTAAGGCAAGATATATACAACTGACAGCTCCTTAAAATATTTTCTGTAATAACTAGGAAAGAAGAATTTCCTTTATACAAAAATTGTTTTCTCTTTAAAAGCTTTGACTATTGGCTGTGAATAAGAATCAGTTAGGTTTTTTTTTTTTTTTTAATTTAAATCTTGCCTTTTTTATTGATGGTTAATCATTTAAAAGGTAAATACATTTCAGCAAAATCATGAATTAGGTTATCCTTATTATATACTAATTCAAGAACAATTTCTTATTATGTAAGTTATAGCTTCCACTGGAGCCCATGCTCCTGATCTCAAGACAGTCATGCGAATTAGCTTCTGAGTCCAGAGTTACTGGTCTCCAGGTATGGGTCTGAAGCACAGTGTCATTTCACTGATTGAATTCAATAAATGGTTTCGTCAAGTGTTTTGTTTGAGGAGCTACAGCAGGTCCTCCTATGAATGACACAGCTCTTGCCTTTGAGGTGCTTCCTGCAAGTTGGCCTTCTTTCCAACACACATGATAGTATGCGATAAGTGTTTTTTACATAGACAGGCATGAGCTACATGGAAAAGAGAATATACTTCCTCTGAAGTATGTAACTAAAGACTTAGTGGAGGAGATGGGGTTTGGGCTGTTGTGAAGAATGGGTAGAATGTCACTCAGTGGAGATCTGATAGATGTTTTAGGATTAGGAGATGTAATGACTAAAAGAATAGAGGGAGGGAAGCTGGTGGGTAGTTGTCCAGTCTGGCTACAGTCTAACATTCTTGTAGCAAAGTAGTATACATTAAGCTTGGAAAATTACATCATATTCTGAAGTACCAAGCTTAGAATTGAAATTTTCTCCAGGAACATTTTGTGTGTGTATGTGTGCATCAAGTGGAAGGAGTGGTTATACCAGTGTGCAGTTGTAGAAGGAGTGGTTATACCAGTGTGCAGTTGTAGTAAGATGAGATGAACACTGCTATGTAAAATGAGTTGGGGAAAGAAATTCACGAGACTGAGGATATAAGGGTTGGTTCAGAAGAAGGAATTAAGCAAGGACCTGAATTGGGGGTGGCCATTGAAGTAGGAAAACACTAATGAGGGCAGAGGATCTGTCAAATTAATGGTAATTATGAATTAATTTCTAAAAAGTGGTTGTGCAACTTCCCACCATAGATTAACATGGATGCTTTACTGAGAAAAGTCATTAAGCAGTAGTTGTCTATTTTTTTCAGGACAAAATTCTAGCTCAGTTACAGTGAAATATACAGTGTTTCATGATCCAGTTAGAAGATAGACGTGTGGTTGATGGGCAGTGATTTCAGCAATGGGCTTGAGCTATGTCAGGGGCGGTGATAGAGCTGTGATCAGGAGCAGATCTGCTGCAGGAGAGACAGCTGACTGAGGAGACATCCCGGCATTAACACAGTATGAGTGACCCCTTCCCAAGAGAACAGACTGCAACAACCAGGACCTGTGCAGCATTCAAAGGACAGGCAGCTATTTGGGCCCAAGCTCACCTCCAGGGAATGAAGCAACCTGTATTTTGGAGGGGACACTGAAATAAATGTGGCAGCAAGGGAAAAGGAATCATAAGATTATCCTGAAGTGTTCATATTTAAGGAGGAAGTAAATCAGGAAACAGATCCTCAGATAATGACTGAGTTAGTATATTTGGGAGGTGGTTTCATGAAGTCCAGGGAGAAGGGAGAGGAAAGTATCATGGCAGTAAACAGTGTGTGACTGAGTAGGTCACCACTAAGATCAGCTGGAGTTAAATCCCTTGCCCCCAAGAAAGGCTGTGTGGGAAATCCGTACACCTGGGGGTGGGGAGGGAGGTCTTTACCCTTCATTACCCATCTGTCACTGACTGAGAGTTATATCTGGCGCCACTTGTGACTGCTGCTCAGCAGTGAGGAAATCACTCAGATTAGGAGGCATAGGTGTTTGCAGGGGCCTGTTGTGAGGTGGTAAGGCCCCTCGGGATATGAGTGTGGCCCTGTCATACCTGCTATAGGAAAGAACAGAGTCTGTGTGTATTGGGGTGGGGTTGTTTGTGAAGGGGTGGCAGGTTAGTACTAAAGATACCAATGTGACCCAATTTCTTATGCTTACATTGCCCTTCATCAACAATCTCCTTGAATCACTTCTCAGTTGTAAACAGTAAAAGAATCTCCCTAAAGTGGGATTCTGAGCAGTTGTCCAGGTTTCTAATAATTGGCTGTTGCACCTTTATGGGGCTGGTGACCCCTCAAAGCTGTGACAAGTTGACCTGTGTTCAGCCCTGCCTCTCCTTTATCTTACCTTATTTGGATGTGTTCCTTTTAAGAAAACAGTTAGAAATTAAATGGAACTGAATTCCATGTATTTTTTCAAGTCCTCATCCTAAAACTAGATCTGCATATATTTTTTCAGGAAAGGGTAGGATCACTAGATCCTCAGGACAGGGCCTTTTCCCTGCTACACCTGGACAGTGAGAGCGGCCTACCTCCCTACAAAGAGGAAGAGGAGAGAGCTGCTCACTTTGAGCCAGCCATGTGTCCCATTTCAGATGAAGTTTGGACTGTACATATCTAGCTTTCTTTTGGGAGTACATCTTTTGCAGGTTTTTGAGAGTGTGACTCTGATTAACTGCTAACACATTGGTCTTACTCTGTCTCGGGTAAAGACTTTATATCATTATATACGTACGTACTTTTGCATGTAAGTGTAGAGGTAAATATATTTGTATAAACATATTTAAATACATACACTCATTACAAGAACTTTAAAAAATAAGGTCAGTTTTTATCTCCATTTACGGTTCTGGAAATGGAGTCCTAAAGAAGTTAACTAACCTGTCCCCAGATCATACATGGGGTCTGTGGTTGACCTGGGACTCAGATCCCAGCATACTGGTGCAGAGCTTTAATGAATACCCACCTTACTTCTCAGTTTCTGGGAAGAAAGGTTTCACTTTGGAAAATGTGGGAGGAAGCCTTTCTTTAAATCTCTCTCATATAGTCAAGAATGAACATTACAGTTTTCTTTAGCCTCCTCTTTGAGGAGACATTTGGCTGTCCAAGTATAATTCCTCTGCTCTTGTTTATGGTGGAATTACATGACAAGTTGTTCTGTGCCAATGATCTTAACAGGTGAGAGAACTACATTAGTTTTGGTAGATGCACATCTTGCAGTGGAATGATGGGGAAGTTAGGCAAAGTGAATGAGAAGGGGGAAAGGAAACAAGTTGATTTAGAGAGGAAAACAAATTTTGTAGGAAATACCATTTCTTGTCACCTTTTTGATACTACAAGGGATTACAGAAGTCTGCACGGGAGAACAAATACTGATTTCTTATTCTTTAGAAGACTTTCTAAACTTCATATACTTATATTCTTTGAAATACTGTATTCTCAGAAAAGGACATTCTTCTTCATGCAGTCTGGAACAAAAACGTGTTTGTGCCTACACTTTTTGGGAAAAGAAATCTGGCAATAACTAT